TAGGCCAAATTAAAAATCACTGCCTCAGAGTACTACATTGAACCATTTTAAAAGAGCTATTTTTGCACATTACCTGTACAGTATGGTATTTGACTAGATAGCATAGTAAGAGCTCTCCATTAATTTATATGTAGTTATTATGACTTTTTTGTTTATAAATCTGATCACTTGAAATTACTGGTTTCTGTGTATCAGTTTGTACAGCAAGAGGCAAAGATGTTTAGAGTGTCTTAAACTGATGTTTGATATATTTTACCCATAAGATAGTAATACAAATTGAGAAAGTAGACTTTTCAGGCTGACAGAATATTTTCAACACTTAGGTTGTGTTTGGGTTAACTAGACAACTCTTTTTCTTTCAATCTGAGTTTCTAGAATATTTGGGCAATTCTTTTTTAGAGGGCTAACATAATTCATGGGGTAACCATCCAAAGTAATTTTTAAAAGAGACATTCTTTTAAAAAAAAAACAAAACAGAAGTTTTGGCTAGAGTTCTGTTTATTTTTAGAAATTCAAAAACAGTTATTTTTTCCATCTGTTTTAGAGTGATGGATATTTTATTTGCCAGCCACTAATAAACTTGTAGTCTAACTGGAAAAAATTCTTGTTTTGCCTCCTTTGCTGGTGACAGAAGGTGGTGATTAAGTCTCAAGGAGAACTGTGTGAAAAAGGCAGTTATATTGACATAAGTGAAGTACCTTTCACTTTAAGACACTCTTTGTGATAAGGATGATATGGAATAAGGTTGAATTATAGGATTGTAGAGCTAAATGGGCCTTAGTCATTTTTCCTCATTTACTGGTGGGGAAATTAGAGGAGATGGAGTAACTTCTCAATACTGCAGTTTGTGGCAGAGCAGATAAAATATAATCATGATAAAGGTAAAGGTTAAAGGATTGAGACAAACGTCATATGTATGTGAAGCAAGGAGACCAAAGTTCTGGTCCTAACCTTTTCCCTTTTACTGTGGGCAAAGCCAAGCCTGAGAATCCTCAATTGAGAATACCTGGCCTGTGTCATCAAGAGAACTGGCCTAGACCTCAGTTCTATGCAAAAATAAAGGCTGTCTTGTGATTAAAGGGGATAATATATAATTACACTTGATGCTTTTCAAATATAAGGTTGTATAATATTCTTTCCACCCTCAAAAATGCTTGTACTTTAGAAACCTTTTTTTTAATTAAACAAATAATTTTATTAATATTGTGGGAACGTAACATATGGCCCCAGGGAATAGGGTAGTTTATTCACTAACCCCAATCCTTTTAAAAAGTATATTATATTCCCTAAAGAGTCTAGTACTTGTAACATAATACTGTGTTTCAAGTCTAGGTTGCCCTTAATTATTCTTGGCATCTTACGTTAAGTTGCACTCACAACCAAAAAGTACCCCCGATTCTGACATTTGTATATATGATGCATCTCTTTCATTCATTTAACAGAGATGTTGAAAAGAGGGAAAAGCGTGCTGCACAGCATTAGTGGAGTTGGCAGACATCTCACTCACTGTTCAGTGGCCTTTGTGGATTGCCTGGTGCTGCCTTTGACTTTTGCTCCTTTTCCTTTTTAAGAGGGAAAGATGTGGTCGCTTCTGGAAAGGTAGATGGCAATTTTTTTGATTTGAGTAAGAAGTGTGAGCTTTTTTGCTGTTCACAGTTACAGTTCCCGCTTCATCATCTGGACCCTTTGGGAACTTGTCAGGCTATCAAATTATCAGACTTTACCCCAGATCTACTGGATCTGGAAGTCTTGACAGGTGTGTGTGAGCCCTGAAGCATGAGAAGCACTGACCTAAGAGTTGTTATCTATTCCTTTGCTTCTTTAGAGTGAAGGAAAAAGCGAGAGAAATTATACCAAATCATAGCCCTTTCTAGTCCGTGCCCAGGGATCTTTATGGTGTCTAACCTGTGTAAATTGTTTTATGATTCTATCTCTTGGCTTGCTTTCTCCTCTTTACAACTAGTCTTTGTAGAGCTGCTTTCACGCCAAAATTCAAAGGAGATATTTTGCTGGCTGAAATCCTTGTTTTCATAGATCAATGGGGACTCAGAGCCATGTTTTACAGCAGGACTTAGATGGACTTCTCCTTTTCCTTTTAAAATATCTTGAAATAAGTTGAACAGAGGAGAAAATACCTATAAGAATTTACCTCTATAATGGCTCTATGAGCCCTACCATTTCAGGTTTTTCCCATAGTAGTTAGGATAAGAATAATTGGACCTACCTGGTGGTGTAGGAGTTAAGTCTTAGTACTGTTAACTAGGATGTCCTACCAGTTCTGCTGACTTGGACTCCACCGGCACACTGAAAACCGATTGAGAGCCAAAATGATCAGCTGCGAACCACCAGGTCACGTCCCCCCAGAGCCCACATGTCCAGTTTTATCCCAACCTGGCTGCTCAGCTCCGCCCTCACCTCCTGGCTTGCTTCTCCTTGGTACTGATGGGATTTGGAGTTCCAGCATCTGGAGTAGGGATGGAGTCCATGAAACCTGTACCTGTTACATGTCTTGCCTGCTGCTCCCCTTGGCAGTATATTTCAGTAAATCTGTGCTGCTCCCCACTCTGTACCTGGTGAGTCTTTTCAGCCCCCACATCTCTGGCCTATACCTCAGTTCTATGCAAAAATAAATAAGTTTATAAATAAAATCTTTTTTAAAAAATTAAAAATGAATTTATTCATCCTAACTCATGACTTAAAAGTGAAGTCTTTGGTTATTGTGTGCATACATGTTTTTGACACTTCTGATGACTGTGGCAACACTGACTTAAAAAGGTCTTGAGCTGATTTGATCATTTTTTAAAACTTCCTTAATAGTTAATGTAGATTTTATTCAAGAATCTGGGGGAAACCTGGTATTACCCATCTTAGGAAGAAAGGAATAATTTTACAACTGTCTTTTTCCTTTTAGTTTTAGTTTGTAAAGTTATTGTCCCCCCCCCCCCATTTCATAATAGCACATAAAAGTCTAAAAATATTTTTGGTTTTTCAACCGCCTTATTCTCTGTTAATTAATTCTAACTGTTCTATGTAAGGAGACTACATAAATTCTTGTGAGATGTGAATTTCCTAACTCAGGCCTATCAAAACCTGACAAATCAGTGAGATTTGAAAGGAAATTTTGGCTTAAAAACTAAGGAACAAAAATGTCCGCTTGTAAAGGGACTGGCAAAGATAGCCAAATATGTAAATATATGTGGTGAATGCCAGACTCTTTAATCAGAACTTTAAAATAAGTCAGCCTAAAATTAATTTTGTGAGTTTTTGAGTATGCTTTACTTATTTATTTTAGTTTTTTGTGCTCTGCCCCATCCCTGTGCATTCTTAATAAACCAAAGAACATAAAGTTGCTGTTTATCACTCATTTGCACACCATTGGAAATAAAGATAAAATTTTCCATTATTAACATCAGAAATCAAATATTTGAGTAGGTAATTCCTGGCAGTATCATCTTTGGTTGTTTTGGGGCAGAGTATTGAAACTCTTAAGATATGCAAATGTTGATACAACTTGAATAATCTCAGTTCTCATTTAAGAAGTGGTGTGGAGATACAGGACATGGGTCATATGACTTAGAGCTAAAGAATTTAAGTAAATAAAACATGACAATGATTCATTCCTTTGAGAGAAAATTTCCCAAGTAAACAATCCTCCCTTCCTATCTTTTACCTTTTAGGAGGAAATTAACATCCCCAGTAGGCGGGTTCTGGTTACTGGTGCCACTGGGCTGCTTGGCAGAGCTGTGTACAAAGAGTTTCAGCAGAATAATTGGCATGCTGTTGGCTGTGGTTTTAGAAGAGCAAGACCAAAATTTGAACAGGTGAATTTGTTGGATTCTGCTGCAGTTCATCACATCATTCATGATTTTCAGGTAAGGTTAATCTGTTTATTTTAAGGTATATGTAGAGCAGACTAAGACTTGTTCCAGATGACCTGGAAAATGTTCTTGTTCTCAAGGAAGCTGCTGGATGATTCTTTAATCTATTAGTAAATAATAATAGTGTACTTTCTTTTTCTTAGCATGGCCAAGATGTGCAATACTTACAGAGATTTTATTGAGACTTAGGTTGAAAGATAGTAGTGAAGCATTTTGTGAAAAGCTGTTTATGGAGGAACTTTCTAATTAACACTTTCTATGCCAGTGCTTTTAAAAATCTTATCTGTAAACCTTTCAACCCAGAATAGATGCTATCATTTCCATTTTAAAGATGAGGAAAGGCTCAGAGAGGTTAAATAATTTGGTGGCCACAGTCACAGAAAAATTTGAGTTCATTGCATTTTTTTTTTTTAAGATTGTTTTATTTATGAATACAAGAACTGGAGTGTAGGCCAAAGGTGTGCGGCAGGGGGTATGAGGATTCATTATAGATAGAGTGGGGAACACAAGTGGATTGACTGAAACACTGCAGAAAGGAGCAGCATGCAAGACAGGAGAGGTCTGCTGTGCTACATAGGTCACCTCCCTGGCCAGGGATTGAACTCTTCCTGCAGTAGCTGCAGATAGGTTCATAGCGCTGAGGCTTAACATCTTATGCTGCCAGGGAGATCCCGTTAACACTTTCTCATGGACATGAGAGTTCAAGTTTGACCTAAAAACATGATCCAAGAAACAATTGCATCAGAACTGCTAGGGAAACTCATTCATAGGCTATACTTCCAATGATCTTTATTCAGTAAATCTGTGGTGGACCCAGGACTCTACATTTTAAGACATACCCGACATTATGCACATTCACATTTGAAAACTATGCCTACTCAAGCAGCCATTGCGAAGGAGAAATTTGGGAGTATGGTCCTCCTACATCTTGTCTGGCTAAACTACTGAAAAGTAACAGTCCCTTTTCATAAAGGACCCTCTGTAACCTTCTCTCTTGATGTCCACTTTGTTATACTGAAAAAGGCTCTTTACTTATCTGTCTTTTACACTAGATTATGAAGATCTGGTTTACCTAGGCTTTGTGTGTAGGTAAAATACACTAAATACTGGCCCTCCCTGGTGGCACAACAGATTAGGATGCAGCACTGCAAGCGAGCCCCAGCCACTTCAGTGCCAGTTCAATGCCGGTCCATCCCAGGCCCCCCAGGTGATCCACATGGCACAGCAGACCTCTCCTGACCTGCCCTCTGCTCCCCTCAGCAGTGCACTTCATTAATCTGCCGGTTCTGCTCCCTGCTATGTCTTTGAAGTCTCTTGCCACCCCTGCAGCTCTGGCCTATACCCCAGTTCTGTATGAATAAATAAATTATTTAAAAAAAAAATACTAAATGCTTAGTTGGGGGATATGATTCTTAGGGGGCCAGCTGATATTCTTTAAATGTTTGGTCTCAGATTTGAGTTTATGAATTTAATTTGCTAATGATGTTTCTCTTCGTTTAGCATAGACTCATTAAATGTTTAGGTTACATTAATTACAGAAGTGTTAGCTTCTCCCCCCCCTTCAAATTAGGAGATGAAGTTTATTTTGATTTAAATGTAGTTGTTGATGTAGAGTTTTGTCTGGTTCTTCCTGAGGATTACTAAATTGCTCTTTGATTTTTTTGGGTCCTAAGTATTTTTAAGGAAATTCAGGTCTGGGGGGGGAAAGGGAAGCATGATAAAACTATATTGAAATTACAGTGAGAGCCTCCCTGGTAGTACATGGGTTTAAGTCTTAGCACTATGGATCTTTTGGCAGCAGAGTTCAATCTCTGGCCAAGGAGCTGACCCACGCGGCACACCAGACCTCTCTTGCCTCACCGGCTGCTCCCCTCAGCAGTATATGTCAGTCAGTACACCTGCTTTGTTCCCTTCTATCTATGGTGAATTCTCACCCTCTTCCCCCTCCCCCCCATCCCCACCCATAACACCTCTGGTCTATGCCCCTGCTCTTATATGCATAAGTAAATAAATCTTTTTTAAAAACTAAAAATTACCGTTATTACATAGAAGATGAATGCGTGTCATTTTAACAGACTTTTTCTGTGAAATAATGTACCCTTACCAGGCTGTTGTTCCTCTATTTTATTCCTTTTTGGGCTAAAATTACATTAATACTTAACTTCCAGCCCCACGTGATAGTACATTGTGCAGCAGAGAGAAGGCCAGATGTTGTAGAAAATCAGCCAGATGCTGCTTCTCAACTTAATGTGGATGCTTCTGGGAATTTAGCAAAGGAAGCAGGTAATGATGGCTTTATAAAGTCTTCATAAAATATTAAATAACTATAGAGTTTTTAAAGGTTAAAATTTTATAGGTTGCTTATCAGAAATTTGTTTTTATGAATGGTAAAGAATAATCGCATTTAAGTTCCATTAAAATGCAATGCCATATAATAATAGATTTCTTTATTTTGTATCCCTTTTTTGTGTAGCTGCAATTGGAGCATTTCTTATCTATATTAGTTCAGATTATGTATTTGATGGGACAAATCCACCTTACAGAGAAGAAGACATACCATGTCCCCTAAATCTGTATGGTAAAACAAAATTAGAAGGAGAAAAGGCTGTTCTGCAGAACAATTTAGGTAAGACACAGTTTTTTTAGCCTCTGATTATTTTTGAGGACTTACTTCTGTGTTTATGTGTATATATGTGCATATATATATATATGTATTTGTAATTTAAAAGAAATTAGTCAAGGAACACAAATCACAAAATTTGGAGAATGCAGTTAATTTAAAAAGGATTTTAGAAATTGTGACTTAAAGATTGCTTTATGAGTCATTCACGACTTTTTCCATGATCAGTTCATACATGACTGCTTCTACATAGAAAAAGAGTCATATAGTGGGAAAAAAATTTTTAATGAATAATAGTTTATTTTTACATCATTTTGTGCATTTTTTCATTTCAGTTGAATCCCTGTGGGTTTATAGTGGAAAATTTTTAATCAAATAGTGTGTATAGTAGCAGCAGACATTTTATTTTTCATTTCATATTGTAAATTATTACGTAGGAACAGTCCTTGAATATATACTTTCATTTAGTTTTCAGTAAACTAAGTGAATTTTAAAAAAAGTTTGATTTTTCAATTTAAGTACTAATTATTCAAACTATGCTTACATCTCATTAATGAGCACATAAAATTGAAATACCTCATAATTCCTTAACCAGTGGTTTAAAAAATTAACATAGTGCTCATTCAGGTATCCTTTCACCCCAAAATACATTGTATCTTAAATTTGTATATACAATAAGGATGTTCCTTACATACTTACAATGCATTAATCACACTGGAAATTTAACATTAATACAATAACAAAGCATAATCTGTAAGATTGCTTCCCCAATAATAGCAGTTTATCAATATAATGCAATAAAGGATTTTATTGATTTAGAATCCTGTTGAGGTTCACTCATTGTATTTAGATCAGTTTTATTTATTTATATTTTAAGATTATTTATTTATGCATACAGAACTGGGGTACAGGCCAGAGGCACAGGGGCAGTGAGAGTATTCATCAGAGACAGAATAGGGAGCAAAAGAATCAGATTGACTAAGTATACTGCTGAGGGGAGCAGCGGGCGGGTCAGGAGAGGTCTGCCACGCCATGTGGATCTCCTCCGGGGCAGGCGGGGATTCTGGGGCAGGCGGGGATCGAACTCATGGGAAAGTGGCTTAAGCTTCCTAGTGCTGTGCTTTAACCCGCTGCGCCACCAGGGAGGGCCGATCAGTTTTATTTTTAATGGTCATAATAATGAAATAATACATGAAAACACTGCAAGTGATGGACAGTTAATATTTGGGATCACATTTGTTGTGTTATTTTGGTATATTGCAAGTTTTCTACTGCAGTAGTCTTTTTTTAAAAAAGAGATTTATTTATTTATGCATACAAGAACTGGGGTACAGGCCAGAGGTACGGGGGCGGGGGGATGATAGGATTCACCAGAGACAGTGGAGAGCAGAACAGGCAGATTGACTAAAATCACTGTTGAGGGGAGTAGCAGACAAGACAGGAGAGGTCTGCTGCACCATGTGGGTCACCTCCTGGCCAGGGGTGAAACTCTAGCTGCAGTGGCTGCAGGTAACTTCATAGTGCTGCATTTTAATCTATTGCTCCACCAGGGAGGGCCCTAGTCTCTATTTTTCAACTAGCTAACCTTAGACTATCATGTACTTGTGTTAATTTCTAGGAGCTGCTGTTTTGAGGATTCCAATCCTGTATGGAGAAGTTGAAAAGCTTGAAGAAAGTGCTGTGACTGTTATGTTTGATAAAGTACAGTTCAGCAACAAGTCGGCAAACATGGACCACTGGCAGCAGAGGTTCCCTACACATGTCAAAGACGTAGCCACAGTGTGTCGCCAGTTAGCAGAGAAGAGAATGCTGGTAAGAATCCTTGGGAGGAAGAATTTTTGGAGGGAAAGTCCTTAACTTCCATCTTAATAAAAATGTTGTTAATGAATGAATGTGCAGTATTTTTTGGAAACTACAAGGAGACCAAATGAAAGTAGTAGGCTATATTCAAGAATAATTTAAATACTATGCTGTGTCTAAGATTACTTTCCAAATACCATAGACCCTGCCTCCTTGTTTTACTGCCAGATGACTGAAGGCTTTTTTTTTCCCCTTTGGGTTAACAAAACAATCTCATCTCCTGATATTTCTTAGGATGTTGCTGTTTAAGATCCGTGGAACCCCAAAGAAGAATCTACATAGGAAATGATAGTTTAACATTTCATGAATATTTTTTTCATGAATAATTTTTAAATAAAAAACATGTAGATAGGAGTTCATTATAAATATTCAAATAAGGTGGAGCTAAATAGACTGAAAAAAGATTAGAGACTTTAGATTTTTATATATAAACTCATTTTTATGAAATATAAATGTTATAAATGTTTATTTTAAATATATATCCAGTACTTAATGACTAATGATCTTGCCTTGAACACTAGTGCAATTGAGTTTTGGTTTTAGCTTCTTGGCTAATTAGAAATACTTGTAAAACTGGGTTTGGGTCTCCATAAAAATTTCTAATTACTTTCAGGATACCAGAATAAAATTGAAGACATGTATATTTTTTGTCTTCCAAAAAATTAAGGCTGTATATTGTAAGTTACATTTCTTAGCTAGGAATACAATCTTAGATATTTTGTGAGCATTAGGGAAGGTAAAGATGCATTCTACAGTCGTTGGGCCCTTTAAATGAGCTTTTTTGTCAACCCTACTATTCCACTTCACTCAGAAAGTTGAAACTAATGCATTTTTTTGTGTCCTTGTTAGGATCCATCAATTAAGGGAACCTTTCACTGGTCTGGCAATGAACAAATGACCAAGTATGAAATGGCTTGTGCAATTGCGGATGCCTTCAACCTCCCCAGCAGTCACTTAAGACCTGTAAGTATATGGCATTTAAAAACCTCACTCTGAGCCTCCCTGGTACCTAGGGATTAAGTTTTAGTGCTGTGAAACCCTACACCCTGAGTTCTATCTTCAGACAGGGAGCTGACCCACATGGCACAGCAGACTTCTGTCTCACCCTCTGCTCCCCTCAGCAGTGTATTTCATTAAATCCACCTGTTCTGCCCCCACTCTGTCTCTGAATCCTTTCACCCTCCATACCTGTACCCTACCCCAGTTCTTACATAGAAAAAGAAATAAATATAAAAAAATTCATCTGAAAGACCTTCCCCATCACTAACACATTGATTAGTGGTAACATTTTCCTTCTTGCTTTGGTGGTGGTAGATAACTTCATTTTCTAGTACTAATCAGTGTGAATTTTGCTTTCTTATCGACTGTTTATGTTGTTATTCTTGTCTAAATATTGTATAAAATTCTGTCAGTATTGATGAAAGTTTATAGAAAAACTTACTCTCTTGATTGTGGCAGTATTTGGGTTTTTTGTTCCAGAGAAGATCAAGTCAAATCAAGTCAGTTCTAGCACTGAGGGTAAAATGAAGTGGAGAGTATAAAAGCACCTCATTATGTAGCTTTCCTTTGATTCTTAACTTTGTTTCCATTTTACTTTCTAAGATAACTGATAGTCCTGTCTTGGGAGCACAGCGTCCAAGAAACGCTCAGCTCGACTGCTCCAAGTTAGAGACCTTGGGCATCGGCCAGCGGACTCCATTTCGAATTGGAATCAAAGAATCACTTTGGCCTTTCCTCATTGACAAGAGATGGAGACAAACAGTTTTTCATTAGTCTGTGTGTGGCTTTTGTTTGTTCGTTTGTTTTTTAATGAAAAGTATAGTATGTGGCACTTTTTAAAGAAAAAAGGAAATAGTTTTGTACGAGTGCTCTTTAATTGTGACTCATGATCTTTCAGGTAAATGATGCTCTTGCACTAGTGAAATTTTTGTCTAAAGAAACCAAGGGCAATAATGCCTTGTTTGAAGTAATGATTTCTCGGTTTATCATTTGTTCTGGCTTACCTTACTGTTTGAGTGTAGTAAATTATGATTATTAAATATTTGAGAGCCAGTTCAAAGCCGATCTGCTGTAGCCTTTTTTTTTTCCTTGGATGAAATGCATTATTCATTCCAATAACCTCTACCTTTGCTGGACTTCACAACTGTTGAAACTTTTACATTTTAAAGTGTATTGAATAGGATGAAAATCATTGGTGTTCATTGTCTGCTTTGCTTGAGCTCAGATCAAAATGTTTGAAGAAAGAAACTTTATTTTTGCAATGTAAGTTCAGTTTTTATGCTTGAGATAGTTCACTGAGTTATGTATATTGGAACTCCTCCAGCTTCATGCCTCCCACTTTTGTAGCAGTATATGGTGAGCCTTGGAGAGGAGGGGAATGTGTGTATGTGTGTATTTTTTTAATATATATATGAAACTGTCATTTCCACTCCATGTCACTAAGTGCTATTTCATCTATGTAAGTCTTTGGACCATTCATGAATAATAATAAATATGTACTACTGGCATGGAAATACTTAAGTTCTCTTGTATTTACTTCTGTTTTTCAAGTGTGTGCCAGACCTCTAAACTAGTTATTTTGGTTATTTTGATTTTAAGATTTCATCCTTACTTTTGATGCCTACAAGAATCATGTTAATATGTACTGAGATACAAAACAAAATAAAGTGAACTTGAGGTAAGCCCACTCATGACCTGCAGAATGCCATAGCTACTATAATCTTGTTATATATTTATTTCAGTAGAATGTTCCCTTTAAGGAATGCAGAGTGTACTTGAATGTATTATCTACATTAAGTAAAATGGATGTGACCTTACACTCAACCATATTTCTGGTTCTTAATAATAACGAAGCAGAGAGCTAAGAGTGACTTAAATAAGTTGGCTGTTATTCAGGAATCAGTACAAACACTGGTTCCCCATTTTCTGATTTCACTTTTGGATTATCCTTCCCTTGATTATACTATTATTCCCTCACTGGGCAGAAAATAATTTTGTTTCTAGCTTTCTATTTTTCTTAGAACTTTGGATCCAAAAAAGATCACATTTAGGTGATTGGATGGTTTTGTATTTTAGGAGGGATATTTTACTGACACCTGAACCTTGCCCATTGGAATAAACGTTCTATTAATAGAGATCTACTATTCGAGTTTTAGGTATTCCCCCCAGGTTTGTCTAAGGGAACCAGCCTCATGCTTGCATTTGGCGACCTCTAAATGAAAGTATTCTGGATCAGTTTTGTTTTTAATCACATCTTCATTTTTTTTTTTTTTTAAGCTTCTTCATTTCACCTAGTACAAAGTTCAGATTTTCTGAGAGTTAAGAAAAACCCGGGCCCTCCCTGGTGGTGCAGCGGTTAGAGCATAGCACTAAGAAGCTAAAGAAAAACCCTTTTTCTTTTTTTCCTCTAGCCACCTATTTTCCATCTGAGGGAAGAAGCCCATATCTATCCTGATTTTTTTCTAGAAGCTTTCTGCATGTATGAGAATACACTTAATGCAGCATATCTCTGTATTTATAGTCTCACCATTTCTTCTTTGTTTATACCCTTTACTGCTCCTTGTCCCCCCTCACCCTGCACATTTAACAGCCCTTGGAATATGTTGTTCTGTATTATAAAGACTGTCCATGTATTCTTTGTATTTATTCTGAAATTTCAGTCTTGGAGAAAAGATGCCTTAATTGCTTTTCCTCTTCCAGATTTCTCAGTTGGCAACAGTTTGTTCAATCTTTTCTCTTCATAAAGATGATTTAGTATAGATTCTTTGCCCTGAACCACTTAATAAGTTGCCAACATGATATTTAATGACCCACTTAGGAAGTAAAAGTCTGTGTACATTTTCTAAAAATAAGGATGCCCTTTCACTTCACCCTAATAACAACAATCAAAAAAGTCGGGCTTAGTATTACATCATCCATCCAAAGACCTATCCCCTCATTACCTGTCTTCCCTATTCCCATAATTCCTCTATAAGTCTGTGCCATATTACTTGCTGCATTGGTTGCCATATGATTTGAGTTGCAACCCAGGACAATTCTTCCATCATTTGCTTTCATGACCTCGACATTTCAACATTTTTGTGATCTCTATATAAGAAACCATCAATTCCCACTGATACCTCTAGTTCTATAATAAATGCCTTAAATACCCTCTTTCTGTATTGGGTGCTGCTTTCTGTGGGAAAGCTAGCTCCTTTTGTTCTCAGCCTATAGTTACTTGCTTAAGTCATGTGAATGACTGTTCTGATGATGTCAAGGCCCATCGTGTCCCTCATTGTACAGGTTCCAGGAACCAGCTGAGCATATCTGATCCCCAAGCCCTGGCCTGATGTCATTGACAATGTGGGCCACTATTGTTGATTAAGGACTCTTACCCAACCCCATCCCCCCCACCCCCAAACCAGGAACTGCACCACCAGCCACACAGATCTCACAGACAGAACATCAAAGGGAAGGGACTGGGTGTTTTATTGCGCATTCATTCCCTTGTATCTAGGAGTGAACCACAGTTTTTATTTATTTCTTTTTTTAGCCTATCTCTTATCAGTGTGTTCATTGATGTTGATGGAACCTTGAACACATGGTGTTGATGAGCCCAGTGTATGAAATATTGTAGTCTAGTGAGACTTATGGATCATGCATGTTTGCAAATATGCTGCAATGTTTCTGCTTATAAACCTGTAGTGCAGGAATGAATTCAGGAAAACATGCATTACTAAAGTAGAAAAACTCTTGTGAGAAGGGGCTGAAAGCATGAGGAACAGAATGTGCCTTAAGTATTTCTCACACTGTTTTTATGTTACATGCTTAAAACACTGTCCAAGAGAGTAAAAGATGCTTATTTCACATGGGTTTTAATAATCGTTATCACTTTGGCTACTTAGTGGAGGCAGCAAGAAACATCTCTTATAACAAAATCTTTGGAAGAAATTTGTGGTCTAAATCAAATCGCATTGCTTTGAAAACCAGAACATCATTGACAGTGAATATGACGGTAGGTATTACTTTAAGTGTATGGGCAGTCAGGGGAGAACTTTCTGACTTAAGGTAGCATTAGGTAGAGCACAAAGAAATGACCAGATACAGATAATGGATGATGAGCTCCTAGCAAGTTCCTGTTTCTGTACTGAGCCTCAGTTCAAGGTTGGTATGGAAGGGGAAGAGAGATGAGGTCAGGGGTCTAATCCACCTGTTTTGCAGCTGTTGTGGGAACACCCTAGCACACAAAATGCTAGATGTGTGGGCTTGGGGCAGGGAGGGTGTGCTTGTCACTGTCAACATTGCCTTCACTTTTCTGTCATAAGAAACTTAATAGGGATGATTACCAGTGGTCTGTCTTTGTGACTTAATATTTTCCAGATTTTCTACAATGAGTAGATTTTTTTCTTTCTTTTTTTTACATTTTTAATTTTAATATTATAGTTTATTTTTACATCATTTTGTGCATTTTTCCAACTCAGTTGTAATTCCCTTGGGCTTCCCATCACCAAATCACCCATGTGCCATCACCATAGTCCAGTGTACTTCCTCCTCTCCCCCATTTTTGATTCCATTCCCCACTCTACCCTCATAAAAGGTCTCTAGTATATAATTGTTCATTATTATTATTTATTCCCCCTCCGGTCTTTAATGCTCCAGTATGGGTGAAACCATCAGTATTTTTCTTTTTGGCTTATTTCACTAAGCATGATCCCTTCCAGCTCCATCCATGTTGCTGCAAAAGGCATGAGTTTATCTTTTGATTGCTGAATAACATTCCATGTGTGTATGTACCATATCTTTTTAATCCAGTCATCTACTTTTGGGCATTTGGGTTATTCCATGTCTTTCTTATACAATGAGTAGACTTTTAGCATTTTGAATGTAAATATGACCATAAGATTTCAAAGAAGATATATAATTTTGATCCTTTTGCCTAATAACTTTGCTACATGAATGTTTGAATTTATATTTACATAATTTTATCTCTAGGAATTAAATAAATTCAGGCTGGTGTTTATTTGCTTAATTTATGTGGAAAGGTAATGAAATCACTAAGCTCTTACCCATGATTGTTTTGCTTTCTATTGCTGCATCTTGATCTTATTATGTTAATAGCCCAATGTTAATTCATTTCTTGCACTTGAAATACTCCTCTCTGACATCCTTGGCCTGAGACTCAGCCATAATCCTTAACTACCACAAAGCAGTAACCAACAACTTCAGGGGGGGTCCCCCTCTGAAGACAGAAGCCAATCTATTCCTCCAGTTACTTCTTGTTACCAACCAAGTTGATTTAGTGTTCAGCACAAAGGGTCTCTACATGTGGTAGGCCATGATGAGTAAGGGCATCTTTGGTATCTCTTGCAAAACAGTATTAACATCCATTACACTTTAGCAGCATGCCAATTTGGCTGTGGCAGGTTTTGGGTGCACCCGAGCCATTGGTGGTGGTAGCAAAAGAATTTGATTTTAATTTTTAACAAACTGTGTTTACTAAACAATTCCAATTTTCCCCCAGTTTGCAATATGACTCAAACTGTTGCCTTTGAAATGTTTTAAGGCTGCAATATATTTTAATATGAGATGCTAAGACTGGATAATTTTCATCCCTTAAACCTTTTTTTCTTTTTGTAAGAAAAAGTACTTTTGCTTGTGAAAGTAATCAGACATTCAAAAGCATGCAAAATATGTATGTACAATTTAAAGAATAATAAACATCCATGTATCAACCACACAGGTTAAGAAGTAGAACATGATGGGTAATTTAGAAGCTCTTTACATGTCTTTTCTCTACTGTGCCCTTATTAGTCAGGGTTCTCCAGTGAATCAGAACCAATAGGGGTTATGTGTAATGTAGAAAAAGATTCATTACAAAATGATAGTTTACATGATTATGAAGACTAGCAAGTCCAAAATCTGCAGGATGCATTAGCAAGCTGGAGATCCTGGAAAGTTGATGTTCCACTCTGAGTCTATAAAGACGCTATGGAAAGCAGGCTACTTTCACTTCACTGCATCACGTCCATCAGAGAAGAAGCTTGGTCTTTGCTCTATTCAGACTTTCAGGTGATTACATGAGGTGTACCCACATTATTGAGGGCTTCTGCTTGAATTAGCTGATTGAAAAGTTAATCTCATCCAAAACACCTTCAAAAGAGATATCTAAAATATGTTTGATTAAATAGCTCCACATTCTGTAGACTAAACAAGTTGGCACATAAAATTCACTACCTCCATGCCACTTGTGTCTCCAAGAGAGATGCAGGTTAAAAATCCAATGAGATGCCATTTCATGTCCATGAGAATATTGAAAAGACCTCCAATGAGAAGTACTAGAAGAGAAGTGAAGAAAGAGGAGCCCTGTCATACTGTTGGTGAGAATGTGAACTAGTGCAATCATCATGGACAGCAATACTAGATGGCTGAGACATCCTACACTTGACCATCAATCCAGAGAATGTGAAATCAATGCAAAAAACTACATGTCCTATGTGTTCATGGTAGCATATCACAGAAGCAGCCCAAATGTCCACCAGTGGATGATTGGATTATGAAGATGTGGTGTATCCATATTACAGAATATGATTCAGCAGTAAAGAAAGATGAAATGTAGCTATTTTTAGCAAAATAGAATCAGTTTGAGAGAATTGTATTTAGTAAAGCTATGCAGATTAAGGATAAATGCTATATTTACATAGTAGACAATTTGAACATAAAAGAACATATAACCTAAGGAC